CACACAGGAGACAAACCATTTCCTTGTGATCTTTGTGGTCAAAGATTTAGCCAAAAGACAAATTTAAACTCACACATGAGTGTCCACACAGGAGACAAATTATTTCCTTGTGATGTTTGTGGACAAAGATTTAGCCATAAAACAAATTTAAACACTCACATGAGAATTCACACAACAGAGAAATCAGTTTCACTGTAAATATTTAAACAGCTCCTACATAAGGTCCCACTGGAGTTTTATGGAAGACTAAAACTGACACAATTAAAAAAAAGCAGGAATACATAAAATAAAAAATAAAGAACATTAAGTTGCACCAATTAAATAAGAACTTCACCTGATTTCTTATAATTTGACCATCATTTATGTTTCCAGCTTAGTTCCTAGAAGTTTTATATTTTAACACAATATACTTTTTTCAATGTTTATATTTAATTTTTTTCTTTTACCGCGTCTTTTTATTTCCATGTGTTGCTTTTACAGTTCTCTGTCTCCTGTAGTTACATTATCTTATGCATCTCTGCCTAATTATTTAAATAAGGTGGGCGGCCCTTCTTGTGTCAGTTCTTCTCCTATTGGTCCACAGACAGGAAGGAGAAGGATCCATGTGCAAATCTACTGCGCACAGGGCTGGTCGATCATTTTTTATTTTTTCATTTGCCGATAACGATAATCTGACATCTTTCTGTCTTTAAAAAAAACATGCAGTTGTAGTGAAAACGTGAATCTTTTTCATCAACAGACAAACTCTTGCCTCTGTTATCTTCACCGTTAAATCTATCTGCAATGTCTCAAAGTGGAATAATAACTTGTCTCTCCTCTGTGACCCCCCACCCCTTTTTTTTATCTCGGTCATTCAATCAGAGAAACTTTAGCTTGTGGTCTGTCTGTAAGAAAAAAAACACACAAATTGTAAAAAATAATAAGTAAATAAATAAGAGTAATCTTATATTTTAGTGTTAATATCACCCTACACTGTAAAACCATACTTGCTTACTAGGACATCTATGGATACGATAAACTACAAAAACATTTGAAACACGGTCGCCTAGAGAACATGATTATGGTCTCCAGACAACGAAAAGAAGGGGTAACGTTTATGTTCATCGAGAGCTGTTCAACAGAAGGTTGAAAATAAAGTTTTATTGAAGAAATCGAGCTGGTTCCTGTTTGTTCAGACATACCATTTTGAACAACATATTTTTCCAACAATTTGGTGACCCTGACGTGATCTTGAACAAGGAGAACATTGGATTTTATTTTTGGCTGTTGAAGAACCTGAGAAGATTTTTGAAACATCAACTGCTGAGAGTGAGTACAGAACAGCTTCAAGATGCCTCCTTTCTTTTCCAAAGAGGATTTCTGCCAGCTTCTCCGAAAGGTGATGGTGTTGGAGCTCAAGATTCATCGTCTAGAACAGTGGTTCCCAAACTTTTCAGCTTTTGACTCACAAAATACCAGCAGCAGAGACCTGTGCCCCCAGCTGTTGTCGGTTGATGAACATTGTTTTCACGTTAAATAAACAAGAGCATAGTAATATTATTTATTAGGATATTTTTGTCCATTTAAGTACACTAATCTTATTGCTTTGTAAAAACAAAGGCAAAAAAAATCCCTAGTTGTCATTTTTCAGTGTAATTATTCAGAAAATATTTTCAGGACCCCAACTTGGTGTTTCAGGACCCCACTATGGGTCCCGACCCCAACTTTGGGAACCACTGGTCTTGAAGAGATGGGAGCTGCTTCTGAGAGTGAAGCTGTATGGAACTCTCTTGTGCCAGACCAAAAAATCTCTCAGGAAGGATTCAGCTCTTAGATGACATCGAATGGCCAGAGTTACAGAGAAATGTTTTCTCTCCATCTGCAAGAAGAAAGAAGCGACAGGCTGGAATCAAAACAACTGATAACGGCCAGAGAAATGAAGAAACAGCAGTGTTTCTTCAGAACAGATTCACACCACTGGAAGAAACTGGTGAGTCTGAACAAAGTTCATTTTCTGATCTCAGAGAGGGACCTGAGGCCAGATCCAGCTCAAAGCCAAAACAAGTCCAAAGAGAGACTTTCAAGAATCAAGAAATGCTGATCATCACAGATAAAATGGTGAATGAGATCAGAGGCTTCTGGAACAAGAAAAAGGTCAAAGTTCTGAGTTTTGCTGATAAAGTGTCTGACCTCACAGAGAAGATTCTGGAAATCACAGCTGAGCATCCAGCTTTGAAGAAGCTCATCATTCACACAGGAAGTGATGAAGTTATGAATCGACAGTCAGAAATCCTGAAGAAGGATTTTATTCAGTTGCTGAATGCAGTTAAGAATCTTAACATGGATGTGTTCCTCAGTGGGCCCGTTCCTACAGCCAGAGGAGGAGCTGAGAGATTCAGCAGACTGTTGGCTCTTAATGGCTTTTTGGAAAAGTTCTGTGCTGACCACCCTGTGAGTTTTGTGGATAATTTTGATCTCTTCTAGGAGAGACTGCATCTCTTCAAGTCTGATGGAATGACTCTAAATAGACTTGGAGCAGAGCTGTTAGCTTAAAACATGAAGTATTTCCTGAATCAAGTTCCGGCTGGAACCAAACGACAGGAGAGTGATCAACTGATGTCTGAGGCTGAAGAACCACAGAGAGGGGAGGTACTTCAAACTGCTGAACTGGAAGAACATCTGGATTCATCAGCATCACAAACAGAGGAACCAGAAAATGTGTTCCCCCAGSCTACAACTGAAGAACAACTGACCACTACTTCTTCTCCACCAGAGAACCCCAAACCATCAACTGAGAACAGGGGATGGGATGAAATTGAGGACCCTCTTAAACAAGAGGGTAAACAGAGCATTATGATTTTTAATGCTGTGGAAGGAGAGGAGTTAGAAGAGTGGAAAAGGTTACAAGATTGGTCACCCTGAATTGAATATTTTTATGTCTGGGAGGATTAAAAATATAATTACTGGGGCTGGGAAATGTTTAGA